TTGTTGTTGTTGTTGTTGTTGATTTTGTTGTTGTTGTTGTTGATTTTGTTGTTGTTGTTGTTGTTGTTGTTGTTGTTGTTGTTGTTGTTGTTGTTGTTGTTGTTGTTGTTGTTGTTGTTGTTAGGGGGCGACGCTCTTTGAAAAAACCCTAAGGCTCCTTCACTACTTGTCTGATCGGAATGAAATTTGACACAATTATTCTAAGCAATATTCCGCATCGATTGACGCCGTACTTACTTGATACGCCGTACTTCACATGTGCCGAATGCATTAAAGACAATAGATAATGAGCTGAAATGCCTCATTACCTATTGTTTTTAATGTATTTGGCACATGTGAAATACGGCGTATGAAACGGGCCTGACTTAGGCACGACATGTTTATTCTAAATATTGTGGGACATTTAACTTATCTATCGAATTCAAATGCGAGGAAATACTTTTGAAAACTGCGCATTTAGTTATCTATGCTTTGTCCAGATTTACACCTCATTTAGGCTATATACACACGGCACTAGACACATTTTGCCGGGATAAAGTGTATCTTGCATGACCAAATTAAAACAAAACATTTAGCGAACTCAGTCTACGTTGCAAACTTCGAGAACATTAGTTTCACAAGTGTCTAGTTATTTGTTTATCAAGTCAAAATCTCGAAGGTTTTGAACGTTTAACGATTTGCACAAGATCGAAACTGGGTCACGCAGTTCCTGGTCCGCTATAGTACGATCGTACTCGTTTTTACGGTTCACGATTTTCTATCGGACTATGAATATTATATGACAGCCAAATAGCAATATTACTCCACTACGCTTTGAGAAACTAAGCCAGCGTGTTAAATTTAGTCAACTTAACGCTTATAATTAATTGTTATAATTCGTCGTTCACATTTTTGAGAAGCTTTAGACTATTGTGATTGTGTTCACAACAATAGACAAGACAATGTCTTTCTTATCGTTTGCGTTTGCTGATATATTTGCTGAATATTAATGATATGTATATATTATTTGCTACGAATACAGTAAAAAACTGCTTGTATCTTTCTTTTAAAGTCAAAAATGAAAAATCGAACACCGTCAATCGATGCGGAATATTGCTTAGAATAATTGTGTCAAATTTCATTCCGATCAGACAAGTAATGACGGAACGTTAGGGTTTTTTCAAAGAGCGTCGCCCCCTAACAACAACAACAACAACAACAACAGCAGCGATTGGGGACCAGTTCCTGGTCCAACAAAACGTTTCCCATACCGAAACGTAAGTTGTTCTCATAATTAAATTATTGTCACTTCTCCGAGCTTTTGAGTGTTATAATTCCGTCTTTACGCGTCTATTTGATTATTACAACTCCATTTAAATTCAGAAAATAAACGCTGAGAATGCTCGGAACGTAATGAGCGGAGAAATTCCGCACTGACGTTAAGAAGTCTGGGTTGAAACTGCGGATATTTTCTTAAAATACAACTTGCTCGAAGACGAAAATGTACATTCTGAGGGGACGCACTTATTTTAGGTTGTCCAGTCACTCTGTTTCAGGTTGTTCGCGTGTGGTGAATAGTTGAAGTTTCTGGCATGTAATACGGATCGGCTTTCACCAAAATCTGCAAGTTTGCATACAATGCCTTCCTGTAACCAAGCTTGTTCGATTTCATGGGGATTCGCCCAGGGGCGGCGCTAATCGGCAAATTGTTATCTCAGTCGGCAAAACTGGATTGGCTAAAGATAACCACTGAAGAAACCAAAATTGACCTCCTGAATAATTGAATTCAAACCGAATATCACGAATAGCATGCATCAAAGAAACCACACATGCAGCAATGCAAATTTTTGCGAATACAGTATCTTCACTTCTGGCAGCTAGTCCAAAAACATAATATTATTGAAATCATAATTAGGTAGTTAAATTTGTTTGGTGGTGGTGGTGGTGGTTGTTGTTGTTGTTGTTGTTGTTGTTGTTGTTGTTGTTGTTGTTGTTGTTGTTGTTGTTGTTGTTGTTGTTGTTGTTGTTGCTGTTGTTGTTGTTGTTGTTGTTGTTGTTGCTGTTGCTGTTGCTGTTGGACCAGGAACTGGTCTGTTGGACCAGGAACTGGTTTGTTGGACCAGGAACTGGTCCCCAATCGCTGCTAATCTTGTTGTTGTTGTTGTTGTTGTTGTTGTTGTTGTTGTTGTTGTTGTTGTTGTTGTTGTTGTTGTTGTTGTTGTTGTTGTTGTTGTTGTTGTTGTTGTTGTTGTTGTTGTTGTTGTTGTTGTTGTTGTTGCTGTTGTTGTTGTTGTTGTTGTTGTTGTTGTTGCTGTTGCTGTTGCTGTTGGACCTGGAACTGGTCTGTTGGACCAGGAACTGGTTTGTTGGACCAGGAACTGGTCCCCAATCGCTGCTAATCTTGTTGTTGTTGTTGTTGTTGTTGTTGTTGTTGTTGTTGTTGTTGTTGTTGTTGTTGTTGCTGCTGCTGTTGTTGTTGTTGTTGTTGTTGTTGTTGTTGTTGTTGTTGCTGCTGCTGCTGCTGCTGCTGCTGTTGTTGTTGTTGTTGTTGTTGTTGTTGTTGTTGTTGTTGTTGTTGTTGTTGTTGTTGTTGTTGTTGTTGCTGTTGTTGTTGTTGTTGTTGTTGTTGTTGTTGTTGTTGTTGTTGTTGTTGTTGCTTATTATACTGTTCTATAAAAGAGGCAATAAAGTCGGTTTTCCATCAGCGAATTTTCTCGCACGAAGCGACCTTTTTCCTTTGTCGGTATCACTTATTACGTCAGCAAGACGTGGCAAAATCAGTCCTCGAAAACGAGGTCGGCATTCGGCAATGCCGGGCTAAATGCAAATTTTTGCCCACCTTAATTCAACCAAAGTAAGAATTTTTATGCTGATAGGTTTTAAAATGTCAGCGATTATAGAATTCGATTCGTAGTTCGATTAACTGAACACACAACGGTGTAAGGTTTAAAAACTGACGGGTATTGTGTATTGTGTATATACGTTAGATGTTTGAAGATCAAATTTCGCGCGTCTGGAGTTAAAATTTGGCTCCAACTTTCGAATTTTCCGGCTGGAGGTAACGTTCCAGTTATATTCCGATTTCAATAATTCGTAAAT